TCTTTTTTTTTTTTTAGGAAAAATGAATATAGCTAATTTCACTTTTTAAGAATGAAGCTGAGAATAAAGCATGAATATGAATTGGGTCATTTGTTTAAGTACAAATGGTATCTACTCATTAAATTGATCATGTGTGAGTTACATGATGGATTTCACGGTGAAAAGTGGTTAAAAATTTAGGTTGAGACCAAATTTTATTGACTTAAATTTATTTTTTTTTGGTCAAATGTCAACTTGTATATATATGTTGACTTAAATTTATGAGGGATGTAAATTTGACATTTTAAAAGTGAAAGAAGAAAAAAAAATTATTTAATAAAATGTAAGGGATTTGAATGATTTTTTTTTAAAAAAAATAATATTTAAGATAGACAATCGAAGGTCTTCAATTGTAGTCTCAGTGATATATATAGCTACGCTTGAATAGTTATTTGGGGGGGGGGATTTTAAACCCAAAAAAATCATTATAGTGATTTTGTTGATAAATTTATATGTAAAATAAAAAAACGGTTAAAAATATGTTTAGAATTATCTGAAATAATGTTTTATAGCAACAATTAATTTATTTGTTGTCATACTAATAAAAAATTAAAAACCCTTCAAGAGAGTGGTGGAATGGGTGGTTTGAAAAGAGGGAGTGTGAATACAAGATCTCGAATTCGAGTCTTTTCACTTATATTAAAAAAATGAATAAAATTAAAAATAAAAACCCTCCACATTTTTTTTTTTTTTTGACAAAGTTACAGCTTGTTTCCACCAAACCAAACATTCTCTCTTCATACGAGGCACCTTTGCTGCTCATCCCATTTTCCTGGTAATTGTACGCCAGAAATGAATGGGCAAAACTTTAGGAACGTGTGATGGAATATACAATTTCAGTGTCTTTGCTTGAGGTTTACGGAGTGCTTGTTCCCTACAGACAACTTTCTACCTTTGTAAACTTTCTTGCAGAAAAGCATCTATAATTGCTTTCAACAAGTTGGTAGTTTCAAGTCCAATTCACACAACTTTGAAGAGTTTATTTTTCTTTAGATTGGAAAGTTTGTATTTTCAAGGAGACGTACGAAATAATAAGCTTGTTAGAGATGGGGATTTCCTCGAATAAACGTTTTGGTTTAGAGTTTTCCAACCTTGTGTTTGTGAAGCTAATGAGATTTTCCACTTTATAAGGAAGAAGGGAGAAAGAGGGGAGTTTGAGAGTTGGATCAAAGATTTCACAATCCCCTAAGGAATATTCCTCCACCTAACGTGAAATGGCCTTTCTGTACAAATGATTTTTGCTTACGGAACATGGGATAACTGTAAATGACATAAATTTCTATGCAAATTTTTTCCCAACAAATGTTTCATGCTTATGGGAAAAAAAGTTTGCATCTCTACATCATAAATTCATACTCCCTCCGTCCCACTTTGATAGTCTTATTTTCCTTTTTCGTCTGTCCCAAATTGTAGTCCACTTTCCCATTAAGAAATGTAGTAATATTTTAAATTGTCTAAAATACCCTTATTAAATATCTTGTTATTAATACATTGTTATTAAATACTAAACCACTACATTGAATACATTGAGCTTTTCCAATACTAACCCATTAGCTGTAACTGATATTAATTGGCACTCTTCGTGATTAGCATAAGGGTATTTTAGGAATTATTAATTTAAATTTATGTTTCCAACCAAATTAATTACATTTTCTTAATCTGTGTGAAAAAAAAAAACCAAGACTAACAAAATGGGACGGAGGGAGTATTAAGTTTGCATCTCTCCATAATAAATTCACATTCTATTTTTTCTGTTAGCTTCGATGTCGCTTAGTTAGTACTAGGGCTGTACACAAACTAAACGTTCAATGAATAATTTGGTCTCAATTAGTTAAGGGCTCGATTTGAGTTCAATTTACAATGAACTTGAGCTCAAATTCCAATAGGAATTGGAATTCATTTATTGTACTAAATTGATTTCGAACTTGTAGATAATTGACTCGTTAAAACTTGATTCAATTAGAATAATAATATTTTATTTAAATTATATATTTATTATTTATTAGATAGATATTATATATGTATTAGTGATAACTTAATATTAAAAATTGAAGAATTAAATAAATTTTTGAGCTCTCAAATTGAGTTTGAACTCATCGAATGTTAAATCAAATCGAACTCAAATTTAGATTTTGAGCACAAAATTTTGAATTGAACTCAAATTATGAAAAGTTTGACTTGATTTGATTCCTTTTCAACCCTAGTTAGTACCATTTCATAAACCACAAAGTTGTTTTTCCAATTGAGTAAAAGAAGAAAAATATAAATATGGACACATTTTTTTAGTAGAAGAGAGTTCAAACTCGAAACTTCTCATTTACATTCGCTTTCCTTGAACCATCCAACTCATCCCTCCCCCCAAATATGGACACACTTAATTTACCATCTTACTATAAAAAACTTCAATTGTGCCATTAATCTATCCATATTTCAAGTGGACAATCTTAATAAAGAATTTCGCATGCCAATGGATCTAGTTTAATTGATTAAAAGAATTCATGTTTTTTAAAGGCCATTAAGAAAACGAAAGCAGGGAAAATAGAGTCAAATGAAATAAAGATAGCATTAAATAGAAGAGAAATAATATTACATCTATAAAACACATAAATTTCTTGGTCAAATAAACAAAACAAAATCATTTGTACTAGAATTACCTGAAAATGAGGTCTACGTTCAAATCCATAGGAATGGTATATGAAATTTTCAATTTGCAATAAAGCTTAGATTTAACCCTTGACAATTCTAATCTCTAATACTTTTCATTTGTTTGATACCAAGATTTGTAGCTCAGAGACGACTTTTACCAATACCGCGGTTTCAAAATCAGAAACACTGAAAAATCAGCTAATCCGACAAAAATCAATGGTATGCTTATCCAAATCATCTCAGTGAAGAACAAAGAATGAAAAATCAAGAAAGACTCGACTTTTGAATTCTAGGAAGAAAGTGGACTAAAATGTTGCGTCTACATACAATGGCTTGCTTGTTTATTTCAATTAACAAATAAAACATAAGATTGGTCACTGCCGGAAATTCTGCACTTAGATCTTTTAATGAAGAAGCAAAAATTTGATGGGATTAGATTCATGATCATAAAATGCTTTTATATTCTACTAATTTTTTTCCAAATCTATAACACATCCCTCTATGTGACCTAAATTCATGATAAAATTGTTCTATTCAAACAAATTTTCTGAGAGTTTTGATTATAACAGTCTAGCTATCACCAATTACCCCTAATTATTGAATCACTAGCCATGTATTTTCAATTTCAAATCCTTCTACTGATACAAGACAAGGAAGCAGAATAATGGATTGCATTTTTCATGATTTTTTATAAAATAATTACTGTAGCGATTTGATGTATGTAAGAGAAAAAAGTAATAAGAAAATATAATCACGAAAAATAACGTAATTTTTTGACGGAAAACAGCAATCCAAACAAGGCCAGATTTCGAAAGTTGATCAATCTCTCTTCTACCAAGGCCCCATCTCAAAACCGATTGAGATTGGCACAGTGGAAATTTTTCTTGTTTAAAGCAGAAAGGACCATCCCTTTTACAAAGGGGCAGAGGTAATCCAGATCACCTGCTCCTGTGACTTTTATCCATTTCTCAATCATCCCTCCTGGCTAGACCAATTAAGCTAGTGCATCCCAGCTCACCCCCATATATAAATATTGCATGACCGAAAAATCATTTCTTCCTCTCTGTCAAAGCCGCTAATCAAGCCCTTTTGTGAAACCAACTCAGACGTTATACATTTATGCATTATCTTACAATATGCATGAACAGATGATTATTGTGATAGAAATCAAGATAGCCAGCATGGTTATATATGGGGAGTATTATCACTTTAAAACAATATATTTATACCGAATCTCAATTTTGAACCCCATGTTTTAATTTAAGTTTTCCAATCCCAATTAACCGTTGAAAATTTTGTATAATAAATGCATAAGTGCATATAGCCACATATCGAGTTGATGAGATGCTTTAGAAATACATAATTCCTTGTGTAACATCGCATTATGTCTAACCATTATTGTCTAAACTTTTCCCTTTGTCACTCTGTGTCTGATCAATAATTAAGTGGCCGTGCTAGAGATCTGCATGCTAATACAAGACATTTGCGCCTGATCAATAGTTTGACATTAATAGAAGACATTAATAAGGTGTAATGTGTGAAAAATAGGACTTTTCCTTGCAACATTTTAAAAAGTTGGGGGGTGGGGGCTAAAAAAAAATAGCCCTAATTATATAAATACGCATCTTTATAGGTGCTTTTTTTTCTTGTCATCATTCAACGTTCAAAGTAATCCACCCTTCCGAGTCCTTATACCTCTCCTTACAGCTAAAAAGCAGCAGAAAACTTGAGTGCCCTGCTCTCTTCTTGTTAAACACCATAAGATCACATTCATAAACGTCTGAACTTTTTCTCTCCTCTCCCTTTATCTCTCTCTCTCTCTCTTTTTCACCTCCAGTGTGTGTTGTTCGATCTATGTGCAATTGGAAAGGTTTTGTGAGGGGGGCTATAACGTTTTCTTCTACCATCCATCTATCAAAAAGCAAAGAAAAACAATGATCCCTGCATGTTTCAGCAGCCCAGAATCCAACTCAAACAGCTCGTCACCAACACAAATGCCTCAAAACCTCATTACATGCATTTACCAAACTCACTTGTGCAACTCACCAACCCATCTCACACTCACCTGGTCAAAAACCCTCTTCTCCCATACCCTAACCATCCATGCGCCAGGTTTTTTCTCCATAACCATTCCTCTGTACCCATCATCCTTCCCGTTCTTCAGGGCCCGGCCCGGATCTAAATCCATACACTTGACCAACAGCCATTATAAGAAACTGAAGTTGTACTGGGACTTTACTCGGGCCAAGTTCACTCAGCAGAACTCGGCCGAGCCCGAGTCAGGTTTCTACTTTGCAATTGCTTGCAATTCAAGAATGGAGTTCTTTCTTGGCGACCGGTTCGACGAGTTGACTCGGCGGGCCGAGTCGGTCTTTTCCAGAGTCCGGTACTCGGACGAGTCAACTCTGTTGTCTCGGCGAGAGCATGTGTTTGGACGCAGGAGTTATGTGACCCAGGCTCAAGTTATGGGGTCCAAACATGAAATTGGAATAGATTGTGGCGGTGGAGTGCTCAAAGTAAAAGTCGACGGAGAAACAAGGCTAGTGGTCAAAAGGCTAGCTTGGAAATTTAGGGGGAACGAGAAAATTACTGTTGGTGGAGTGGAAGTAGAGTTTTATTGGGACGTGTTTAATTGGATAAATAAGTGTGACATTCACAAAAATGGGAGTGCCCATGGTGTATTCATTTTCCAAATTGGTGATGGTGGAATTTGGCCTGAAATGGTTGGAGCTGAGAAAAAATTAATGAGGAAAAGCTTGTCCTCTGTGGTGGCGGCCGCCGGGCAATCGGGCATGTCATCGGTGTCTTTGCCACCGTCTCCGTCGTGCTCTAGTGTGTTGCAATGGGCCGAGGAGAGTAGTGATTGTGGAAGGAGTTCATGTTCGTCTACAAGGTCAAGTGGGAGTGCTGGAGGATTTTCCTTGTTATTGTATGCTTGGAGAAAAGAGTAGTTAAAAGGTTTGAAATTGTGATTCAATTGATCAAATATTATTATTCTTGATTGTTTTTAATTGACAATTTTATGTCTTGCACATTATTGTACAACTTTGATATAAATGTTTCTGAGGTTGTGCAAATACGAAGAAATTTTGTGTATTCTTGTAGCATCTGAGTGTACAATGGACTAAGCCATTTCCTTTTGTTCATCCATTAATTTTCGTTTTTTTTTTTTCTCAGACCATGTCTTAAACCTTACTATAATGAGGCCTAGAAGATGCGGAGTTTGGCTCCTCTCCGACGAATTCTCTCTCCATTTTTTACAATACTCGTCTCAGTGAATGATGTGTTTTTATTTATTTATTAGAAAGGAATATGATCATTTTAAATTTAATTAATTTTAATTTTTATTAATAAATAAAGACACATGTCATGCATTCAGATATGCACTACGAAAAATAAAGAGAGAATCCACCAGAGATGATGAGCTAAATCCAGAAGATGAGTAATTAGACAATTGCACATGTCAAACATGACAATACACTCTGGGTATAACTTCATATAGTAATTTTTGTGTGATGCTGTTACTTAAATAGTAGTCGTTAGTGAATTTCAGTTAGGACACTTTTGACCATAAACGTATTATTATTTTAGTTTTTAAGCTTCAATTTTAGACTCATTAACTCCTACAGTGTGAAGTTCATTCTACTTTAATTCTTGAACTTTGATTTTTGACACTTCAAGTTTATTCTACAAAATTGTCAAAACTAACAAAATAGTAAGCAAGTATATATGCTCAAAAGCCAAGGACGTCTTGGTGTAATAATTAAGATTGAGGTATCTGAATTTAAAGATCTTGGTTTCAAATCTCCCTCTTTCCTCTAGACTTCTTAATTGATTCCATCCCCTCCAGGAGAAAAAAAAAAAAAGGAATGATCGAAATTTAAGGACTCAAATTGGATGAATTTCATGTTCGAAGTGGTAAAGTGTCCAAAATTCTTAATTAGTTCCACCCCCTCTAGGAAAAAAAAAAAAGAATGATCAAAATTTAAGGACTAAAATTGGATGAATTTCATGTTTTAAGTGGTAAAGTGTCCAAAACAAAAGAAGGGAAGAGGGGGGAGAGGGAAGAGAGGGGAGGAAGGGGGGGAAAGTGTTCACAATTGAAATTTAAGGACTAAAATAGGACGGATTTCATACTTTAAGGAGTCAAGTGTCTAAAATTAAAATGTAAAGACTAAAGTGGGAGTGAGTCTAAAGTTAAAGGGTCCAAAGTGGAATTTATCCTTCAAACTTGTATAAAATTAAATGTTCTCTCTTTAGGCTTTTGTGCGGTGCTTGATTGTTTGTTTTTTCTTTTTTTCTTTTTTTCCTTCACTTCGCTTAAGTTTTTCTATCGCACTCACATTTTTTAACTTTATTTTTGGAAGACATTTATAAATTTATTAATCGAAAGAATTACTTTGCACTTAATAATTGATCCAATGACGAGGGCACATTTGTCTAGGTATTTGTAATTTAAGGATTTCACTAAAAGCCCATATTCAAAACTAGTCACACAATTTTAGATTAGAAATTGCTCAAAAAGTAAAAGAAAAAAAAAAAAAAAAGGGAAAGAATACATAGCCAGAACGAGACAGAAAATGTTAGAGCCCGTGAACCTCCTCATGGCTGCAGCATTGTATTCCCATCTAATCCAAGAAGACAAATTTGTGTGCTTCAATTGACATATTAATTAACAATACAAGTGTACAAAATCCAAAAACATATATTGACAATTTTAAATGAAGGAGATAGAATTCTTTCTTCTTACCGAGCAGAGTTGGCCTCTAAAAATGAAAAATCTATCCGCTGGTCCTATTGTTACCTTGCAAAAGGAGTAACAGGAATATTACTAACATTTTACAATTTAACTTTGACAATTCCAACAATTATGACATAATCATTTGTGGCCTGAACTCCCATATTTACAACTTTATTTTGTGTGTGTGTGTGTGTGTTTTTTTTTTTTTTGTAGAAAAAAGTTTAAGCGAATTCACTTTCAGTCATCATCATATTCCAGGATAACTTATATTTTTTTTAAGAAAAAAGTTTGTATGTGTTCGATTCTAGTTACCATCACGAGTCAAAAAACATGTCTCGAGACTATAAATCACTTGCAGAAATTATTACAAATCGTCCATAGCCCTCGCATGATTCGAACTTACAAATCGTGTTGGCCTTTTTTTTCTTTTTATATTTTTTTTTGGGTTTATGATGGTTGTAGAAAAGGAGGATCCAAGAATCATGATTGAATAAGAGGGAGATCCAAAAGTCACTTTCTATCAACGTACTTTTTGGAAGAATATTTATCAATTTATTAAACCATTTGTCAAAAAACAACATTGGAAACCTTTGCAGAGGCTCTTCTGAAGCTTTTCTTCCCATCGATATTATTTTATCATCTTTGTAGTTGGAGCCTTAGAGGGAATCAAGAAATCCGACGACCACAAAAACTCGGAAGAAGGAAGAATGACAAGTCTGGGCTGCGGGGCTGCACATGCGCCGCTACATTGGATTCTCGTTCAAACGGAGACTATCAAAAGTAGCAAGTACCGCTACGTACTCAAGTCACAAGTCTTTTTTACTTATTTTTTGGACACTTTGCCATAGATCACGAGCAGCTCTCATTACTCCTTGTCCCTCTTTCTCTCACACGTAGTCACACACTATACTTCCACACACGCCTATGCATAGACTTATCTTTTTTTTTTTTTTTTTTGTCGGAGACGACAACAGATTGTATAACATAATCCATTCTACACTAAGAGGGGGCAGATCTAAGAAAGTTCAGGGATAACTCGGAGGGGACTTAATCACCACCGGACTAAACGGGTGCACAACACACTCGCCTGAATTTTTTGAAGCAAACCACTTAAATATGGCTCCCACCCCACCAAGCTAGCATAGACTTATCATGTATTGTGTTTTATTACTCTCCAATCTTTTAGGTGCATTTGATAAAATTAAAATTTGAGAACTGAAATCGGATACATTAAGTTATTGAATTGTTAAGTACTAAATCTGATATGTTGTGAGAATGTACTATATTAAGTGATTAGTGAATAATTTATTATTTATTTTTCAGAGTAAATTTTGTTTACGAAATTCAGTGTTATTTCATTAATTCAAATGTTCAATTTTTCATTATCAAATATATCTAAACATATTAAAATTTGAATTCATTAAATTTAAGTGCTGAATTAATTATGAAAGAGGGCCTTAGTGTTAGTGAAAAAATCTGTCTATTACACTGATGTCATTCGTACATGCGATTTTTTAAAATTGAACGATGTTGCACTAAACGATATATCATCATATCGTGTCACATTTTGTAGGTGCACCCATCGAAGTATGCTTGCGTCTCCTGACTTGCATTGAAATAGAATTGACGGGAAAATATGCGATGTTTTGGGAAGAAAAAGTATAAAACGCGTCATACTACCATGTCGATTCATACGGTTTCAAAAGTTCTGATAAGTTAGAAAAAGTCGCAAATGTACTTTGCTTCTTTTACCTCCCAAAAACCGATGCAGATAAATGCTATAGTAATATACAATTCCATTTGCATTTGATTGTACAATTCAGTTTGGATTTGATTGTTTTTCATAAACCAATTTTTCACATATAAATGCTATAGTAAATAAACTCTACACCCTCTATTTTCTTTTACCCGTACCCCATCACCACGACCCACCACTATCCACCACCACCTCCCCATCCCACTTCTTTCTTCCTCCTCTCTCGTCCCCTCCCCCTCTCCACCTTTTTGGTCGCCATCAATAACCAATTTGTAGTCACGAGTTGATCTGGTCACCATGGCCGGCAACCAGTTTCTAGTTGCGACCCATGATCAGATTTGGTCGTGGATGGCAACCAGAAAGGGAGCGTAGAGGGAGTGGTGGTTGCAAGAAGGAGTGGGGAGGACGGAGGGGGGGAGGAGAGGGCAGAAGGAGAGAGGAGGGAGGGAGGGAGGGAGGGAACGGGGGGAGGAAGAAAAGGAAGAGAGGAGGAGGGAGAGAGGGGTAGGGGTGGTGAGGTAGTGGGTGGTGATGGCGATGGCGATGTTTTTAAAATTTTTAAAAGCATCTCATTAAAATTTAGATAATTTTTTATGAATTAATTTTTTATACACTGTCGGTGTAAAGATTTTTTTTTATATAAGTAAGTTTAAATTATAACACATACATGAATTTAAATTTAAAATTCAAATTATTCATTTGTGGCATACATCTAAGGCTACTAATGTAAAAAAAAAATATGACATTGTTGATGCATTAAAAGTTAATAATTAAAACTTTAAACCTTAAAAATACTCCAACATATATTCTCAAATACACCACCAAAAAAATGGTTAAAAATATTTACAGTAAAAATTTTTCACATGTATTACTACAATAAAATATTTCAAAAACGCACATAAAATTGTTAATCCAAATAAAGCTTTGTCTTATCATTGTTTTTTATTTATTATTTTCTAATGAACAAATCGATGATCAATTAACCATTGAATTCTTTAGTACATAGTTATTAAACCCAACCCGAAGAAGAACCCGACGAAAGAGGTGCGTCAGCTGGGTTACTGGTTCAACCATCCAATCAATTTTGGTTCAACCACTAGTTCTATACTAGTTTTATTTGGTTCAACCACTAGGTGTGTGGTTAACCGGTAGATTACTAAATATATTTAAATATTATGTTTCATAATTTTTGATATGGTTAAAACTATAATAAGCTATGCCATAGTAAATACTCAGTTAGTCTAATTTATTATAGAATCATTAATGCTTATAAGAATTAACAAAACCTAAATTTAATTAGTAATCCACCAAACTTCAAGTATACAATTTTATCTACGTGTAATTGTCTAGTTTATTTACCAATTTTAAATGCAAAAGGTTATTAGGAATGATATTTGGTTTAAAATGAATTGTGTAATACTTTTATTTTTTTAATCCATTTCATAATTTATAGATTTTGGGGAATAATAAAATTTATTAAAACATTCCAAATAAATTTTGTTTTGGAAAAATAAAATAAGAATAAAAGTCTAATATATAACATAAGAATGACTAAACAACCAACAAATAGGTTGTTGTTTCGGTGGTGGTTACACTTACTTGTACACACGAGGTCCAATGTTTACTAAACCGATCGGTTCACCATGTTGATTGGTTAAATCGCTGGTCCGTTGACAAGTTAATGGTTTAATTGTTTAAACAATTCAATTAAAGATTCAGTTCAGCTCAATTGCCAGTTCATCGGATTGATTGATTGAATTGTTGGATCGGGCCGAGTTTAAAAACATTGCTTTAGTGTGAGCCTTTTCAATTCAAATTCTATTAGGCATTACATTTTAAAGAAGGCTCACAATTATATGAATCTAATTAGATAATACAATAATGATACAATAAATTCAGTGTGTTATATGTACTTATTTAGTCAATTCCTCAATAGTGGCTTTGCAAAGAGTTGTTAAAAGTGAGGAACTATCAGAAAACTATACCAAAAATACAGCGGTTTTTCATGGCATATTTTTTTTATCTGTAAAAGTTTATGTAAACATAAAAATGCATATATCTTTTTTTTTGTTTCTATTTTTTTACGTCGAATTTTCATCATAAAGTTTGAATTATACCCATTGGCGTTCTGTATTTTACCACCCATATTCTAGTTTATATTGTATATATTTTTATTTCGAGACGTCTAATATATTATGCACTTTGTATTTTGATACATTCAATTATAAAATCGTAATTTCAAATCAAATCTACGGCTTATGATACTAATTCAATAGCATTGTAAATAAGTACTTAAATTACAGTACTCACTCCCCTCCCCTCCCCTCCCCCCCCCCCACAACCCCCTCCCCTCTCTCGCTCTCACATCTAAATTGTAAGAGGTAAATTTTAGTAGACAAACCATAAAATTGAATTTCTTTAGTAAAAATTACCTTAATAAATGATTTTCTTTATACATTGGCAATAAGTATCTGCTGTCATTGTACACGTGCGTGTATGTAGGTATTATACACACAGTGTGCATTTCTTGTGTACTCCGTGCATTGATGATTTCATTTCCCATCATATTGTTCCTAATTATTATAACAGAGGAATCCTTTTTGTACTTTCGTCCATCAAAATGATGACAGCAGAAACTTTTTCTTATTTGGGGGGATCCAGGGAACACATCTCAAATGTAATTATTCTTGCAGGTTGCTGCAAATTTCAAACAAGAACAAGGAAATTTGAGAAGTAAATTTCAATTTCTTCCAAATAATGGGTCAGATTATAATATTTAGTTTTGGTATTTTTGGTTGGGCCTGGTTCCACAGAAAATCTTGAGGCTGCCCTTTTTTTTTTGGGATGAGAAAAGAAACTATTGTGGAACAAGCTTTAGTGGAACCCATTTGGAGGCAAATCTTGTGGATGAGGGCTAGTGGGCCTTAAATGTTGTATGCTATGATAAATCTTCAAATATGGAAGAACTCAAGGAATTGGAAACTGGAAACTAGCAATGGGATCCCTTTCCCTTTCACCAGCTACTTTCCTTGGTTTTTGAAAGCACAGGAGGGATGGACTATGGAGTTCTGTGTTCAACTGTTACTAATTGGTAAAGCTGTAGCATTTTCAAGGAATTTGTTTATCCTTTTGCTCACTAATTTCATACAACCAAACACTGCGCAAATGTGAAATTCTTTTAGAAGTTGGAAAAATGTGTCCAAGATTCTCAAGCACTAGGTTAAAAAGTTCAGGTGATCTTTCTTCTATGAACATGTATCATCTTTTCTAGTTTGGTATATGTAAGAGATGGTTTCTCTTGCCATAAAAAGCTAAGAATCTTCTTTTACAAGCACAAATATTGGCAACCAAGAAGCAGGCTTAAATATAGTAAAACCATGCACCAAAAAGACATCAAAATCATTTCCTTAATTACTTCAGAAGACCACCAATCACATCAATATAACAATAAAAATCATAACAAACAGCATCCTACAGTGTTTATAATGTCAGAGCTACGAGTAGCAACAGCAGTTTACATACTTTAGACCAAGTGGACCGTGAATCTGATTCTCAAATATTTGTGCATAAAAGTAGAATCATATTTCTGAAGTCTTTAAGAAAACTAGGGATCTTAATCATTCCTTATGAAGGCAAAAAGCCAACTAAGCAAATTAAGTTCTTAAGGGTAAGATACAAGGGGTGTTCTTTGTCATCTCCTGCATGCAGTTTCAGAATGTCATTCAGGAAACTGTCACATAGACCTAACGCGTGTGAGGCCATTCATGTAATGCTTGTATATCCTTGCAGTATCGAGCATTTGACACTTTTAGCTCTGAAAAGAGCACAGAGCTATTACTCATCCCCAGAACAAGAGGGAGACTAGTTATAGATCAACTTGGGTCCGATACCCCAATGATGTAAGCAGAGCAAAGTCTGTTTTCTAAAGCTGATTTGGACAATCTGTCTTGGTCCATGTTGAATAGCATGCATGTAGAACAGACTGTTAAATTCGCCAGAGAATAAGTGATTCATTTATCTGACCTCAGAAAGCCTGGAGTAAATATCTGACCTATTGCTTCAAGTGCAGATATCTTCCAACTCTCAACATGCCTAATAACCTGCACAACATTTGAAAAAACAAGAATCACCAAGTTATACAAGCGTTATGATTTACGATTTGAACATGGTTGCAGGAGGAACATATATTCCACTTACTCTTAACTGATCGTCAATATCATAGGTTGTGGTTCCATCAATCAGAATGAGAGGCCTCCACGGAAGTATGAGATGGGTTCTGCAAATCAATGGTGCGATCAATTACAATCCTGAGAAACTTCAATTTTTGACAATCACTCCATTTCTACTCAGCATTTTCACAAGTCTTCTAGAAGCCAAAATGCAAGTATATTGTTCCTGCTAAAGCTCAGATAGAGTTACAAATTATGGAACATAGAACCTCATAACACTACAGGTACACGAAATGCTTTAGGAAATAATTATATTGTTGTTTTTTACAGTATCCATTTATGCATGTGAAACAAAAAAGAAGAGCACTGACTTATACTCTTCCATTTCTGGTTTGTTCAACTTCAAAGAAGTTCGATGGTAAAATCAAGAAGCAAGTTCATATTGAATTAATCAGATGTTCCAACAGTCATTGCTTGCTTCAGGGACTTAAACAGATGCAACCCAGTAGCTATTCTTCAGAAATAATTATATACCTATTCAAGGAATAATAGAATTGCTTAGACAAAGGCTAGATACAAATTAAGTGATATTTACCAGGTACACGCTCAATAAACATTTGCATTACCTTAATTTCCACGATGCAATTATATATTTGGCTTTTGGATTGATGCCCTGCACATGAAAAGCATAGATTCAAATGATGGAGCAAACTGAAGCTTGGTATAGACTCATGAGCAAAATTAAGGTAGAGAAAGCTACTTATGAAGGCAAGAAATTACATTAAGAACTGAAAAACTTACAATCAGAAACTAAATGAAAACTAATCAATATGACATGAAGATGAAACAAGGAGATATGACATGTTTGCAAACAGAAGAAGTAAACATCATTGCCAATCAACCCTGTATGAAACGTAACTTCAGTAATATTGCAGTGCGTAAAGACCAATTACAGAAAGTGACAACTAGAAACAATTATGGAATTTCAACTGATATATTTGGCATTTCAATTTTGTGATATGAAGTTTTGATAAGCAAATAAAGTGGTTGATTCATTTCTAATGCTCAAATGGCAAAAAAAAAAAATCCATCTTGAAGTTACTTTCCCTCTCCTCTTGATTTGACACTTGAAACAGACAGCAACTGCCTGCAACAGTTGCCGAACAAGAGAAGCTGACTAACATGACTGTTTGATAACTAGTCAATGCACAGCTCACAAAATCAGAAAAACTCTGTTCAGAGATCTTCTTCAGAAGTATCCAGTTCAACTATTCAATGCAACCTCTTCCTCATTGGCTTGTTTTTCTTCCCTGTGGTAAAGGAAGGAGGGGAGGAAAGGTTCTCACACCTTCCATTTCAGTTTCAGTGGAAGCTCAAAGTAAAACAGGATCTCAAGTAATGTTGCTCCAGCAATCTTTGGCAACTGCAGTTATCTTACTGGCTGTCTAGGCAATCCATTCTGTTTATTTCATTTCTTCCTTCTTTCTAGCCAACAATGAAGAATCTATAAAGTAATATAAGAATCATGTCATGAGATGATCTTGCACCTATAGACATTCAGTATATTGCATACTTCTCAATGAAAACATGACCAAATCCAAAGACGTTTTACATTCTTTATATGATTTGATAATAAAAATTTCCCTTTAATTGGACTAACTTTAACATGGAGTGCTAGCGGGGAAATAAATCTGACACTTTCAACCAGCCCTGACATCAATCAAACACAATTCCTCAATTTTTCCTAATTGCTGAGAAGTTATAGAAATCGTCCTAGTTGCCAATTCATAAAGCAGTTAGTCTGGCTTATAGATTGCTTTAAAAGCAGCCAGTAATCAATTACACATTGAATCCATGTATTTTGTTATTATTTTCCAACAAATTTTGGAACAGAGACCATCTATTAGGTAATAGGCAAGACATGTTGAATCATAAAAGGGTAGAGAAAAATGTATAGAGTGATAGGCCACGTGTTTTCAATATCACATTTTTAGTTAGCCAGTATGATTCACTTCATGGACCATGATATAGGGAATATATGATTATGAAAGAATAGGGAAAACAAGAAAACTATTAAACTACAAGTGATTATATTTGCAGCTTTAAATGTTGTCCGATTAGTCTTACAATTTCACCACATAAAAGGCATGTTTAGCATTCTTTTATACCGTATCAAAATATATCTAGTTGAGTAACTCCAAATGAGCATCTATCAATTTACAATATCAAGTCCCAACTTGCCAATCCTAAAAATCAACACAACACAAGGGTAATTCTTTTTCTTTCTGTAGTCAATGAGTAGTGCACTATTTTACTTGTATTCTGTATTCCTTGATACAACAAACTTCCAGTGCACTTATTATGAGAAAATCAAAGAAAACTAGTGCATACAGTCTATATTGCTGAATGTCGGGAAAGTCCAAATGATAAGATATTGATTGAAACCAGTATCACTTCTATTTTTCCACTGTCTCTACAGATCAGAAGGCCACACTCTATTAGCAGATAAAAGCTTCCAGTAACATTCATGTGTGGCACAGGGTCTATCTGATATTGAAGGGATATCTGTACTAAACATCAAGAATTCCCTAATACATACCTGATGTGATAGTATCCCTAAGACCTATTTTAAATCAATATGTCATGTTGCAGGATGTGAATGTGCAATATGATTGGCCTGCATCAACCTCTTCAAAGGCCAAAAGAGTTGCTCAAGAGTTTATCAATAGGTTGTCCTAATGAAAATCATCAGGCACGTCCAAATGATACTTCATCCAGCATGGGATCAAGGCTCACACATCAGATCACAAAAGCTACTAATTTTTCACCTACATGTCATATCCAAAGGTGTTATACCTTATCACATGACACAGTGAGGGAACATGTTGCTAGATAAGAAACAGCAGGAGTTGGTTGTGATGCATCAGAATTCTTTAATCTGGTAATGATTTGCAAATACTCTCAATGGAAAAATCAACAGAAAACAGCATACTGAGAGTACAAACTTCAGATGAAACCCTTATTTCTGTTCTAGCTACTAATTTATGCATTATACTTCTGGGTGACAAAGATAAGATTGACAGTTGGCTATATGATAATTAATATTACGTGTTTATGTATGATAATAAGTTGGAAACAGGTGATAACAGCAATGTCTGTCAAAGGCAAAGCTGAAAGAAAAATAATAACTTTGTATTTACAAAGTGCTACATTTCTTGGTTCACATGAGTATGTGACTAAACCAAGCTAAAAAATTATTAGCTTTCAATTTTCTTTGAAGGTTTGTAAAAGACTTCAAGAGATGGAAGAAATAGAATTGATTGTCAGGATTATGGAGGTTTACAAATACAACTCATTCTTCCTATTTTTTCAGCCAAGAGAAAACAAAGCTTAAACAATGATAGCTATAGCATTACCTATTGAGAGAGAATACCTTCTTAATCTCTTTTAAGAATATGGATGGATTGTCAAAGAAAGGTACCAGCAGTTTCAAGTTGCGTGAATACAAATCCCTTCCTGGACGGAAAACCAAAAATAACATAAAATTCAACTGTTTTCAGTGCCCTGATGATTGTAAGTGATACCTTGACATCAGAAACTTGACATATGCATAACAAAAATGACAGAAAGCTAGTATCTTGCAGATGCAACTAAAATATTGCATGCATAAAAGATGAAGTTTCTTGATGCGAAGAGATTGAGAGATTAACTGAAACCAAAAAATAACTCAAAAGATAGCAGACCATGTATGATACCCTCATCCACAGGAATATTAAATGAGACAAAACAGACCAAACAAGTAGTTGGACAGATTGCAAAACTCATTAACAGAACATCAAGAAGTGCGGGAAAATTAATAAAAGAGAGAGAGCTAACTTCAGTATCTTGACATGTATAGCTATAGAAATGCCTCAGACTCTAACCTATCATCTCATATCCTTCTCCACATCACTAGCTCAAGGAAGTATACCGCTATATAAAGTTCACCAGTAGGAACCAATTGGTTGTGCTGTGGAGACAGCACTTCTGAAGGCTTTTAGCCTTTGCAAGATACCCTGCCTAGAATCTACCCTTTCCAAGAATATATCAGCAAGAGCATCTAAAGGATGACTTCTAAAAGTATTGCAACTGAAATTAGGACAAATTAATTAAACAAGGCCCTTGAAGCTACCGCATATGAGGCTCATAAATGGCTCTTGAGCTCATTTCTGCAATAATATGAACCCACAGAGACAACTCCCACAACTTAAAATTGGCAGGTGAACAGAAAGTTGAAGAACACGAGCTGTATGATATCAGGGAACACTCATCAATCAGAATCAAGAGAGTTTCCAACACAACAGAATTTTTTTGACACAGATCAGAACACTTAATGAAAGGGAAACTTTTTCATAAACTACTGATGCTTAAACTTGTTAAAGCATAATTTATAATAAAATAATAGGTTCTTTACCCACACCGCCAACCTTCCTAAACCTATCTTTCCAACTACCACAAATATGCTTGATCAGAGATTTTATTTACCCAAATTGAAACCTGCCTCAACCAATCTCTTCTCCTACCACAGAATAAGGTCAAGGAATCCAAGGAAAATGTGAAAACTAGAAAAAAACTATTTGTGCTAGACACCAATTGTACATAATAGGGACAAAGAAAGACAGAGTGACAAAACTAGAGGTTAAAAGAATAAAACAACTGACATAAACTGTATTACCATTTCAGCTTGACACAGATCCCGTAAAACAGAGATAAAAGCACTACAACAGATTACAGAAAAATACATGGCACTCTAGCATAACATAATTAAAATGCTACATGCTCTGCAGTCAAGTGTAAAAAAGGTAGACAATGAAAAAGATCTCTCATTTGTACCTTGAAATTTAATAGTTGGATCTTCAAAAGTGCATTCATCTGCATAAATTGCTGAGGTAAAGTGTCCTGAGTGAAATAAAAATTCAAACTCAGTTCGAATGCAATGATTTATTAAACATGAAGGCTGTCTAACTGACACATTGTATATCTTACATGAATTGATGATACTTGTGTGCCTATTGTCATCCATCGAAGTTTACACATGTTAATGTGTTTATGCCTTGGAATTGAAATAAGCTAAACTATGTGATTAGCTCTTCCATAAATTAAACCAAAGCCTGTATACTACTTCCAATATCCTGTTTTCTGCACATAATTATGAACCAAGCATATTTTACAGTCCAATACTTTCTTTACCAGATTGAATTAATGAATAGAGCTTGACAAAATCCTATGGATGCTTGGCCCTGTTTTTACTCCTTAGGACTCATGATGTGTAGTCCTGATTGTTGACATCACTGAGATATAGGAAAATGACAGGATCTGAAAAATGTGTGAATGTTATATATACAGGAATTCATAGCTTGAGAAACAGATTCATGATTTTTGGTCTTATCCATAATCCATAAGTAGCCACAGAATTACTTGACTTGGAGATGCAAAACAAAAAAAGAGCAATTTTTTAAGATTCTAACATTCAGTTAGAGTTTGTCCAAATCCAAGTGATTATGTATCCTTTTTGACCATTGTGTACTTCTATACAACACATAACAAGCACATTATCTATCTTTATTCACTTAATATGTTCTTAGTTAACTTTGTCACTGTGTTTAGTTGTATGCGTGGTCTGTGTGTGTAAGCTTCCTATTCGGTGTACTCCCATGTAGAAAAATGCTTGCAGTGCTTCAAGTCTTCAGAAACAATGGGGGCATGTTGTCCTTCCATAGGAGCCTTTTTCTGTTTCTTTATATTTTCTTGAAGAAGCTCATCTTCTTTACAGGAAGTGATATCTAATTAAACCTGCAACATGTATAAACATGAGTCTTGAGACACAAAACAACCATTGGCCACTGGACATTACCTGCACTTTTTCACTATGATGTTATTCTTATTTTGAAGTGTTCTTCACAGCATTATTGTGCTAAGTAAGATGTTAAAAAGCTTGGACAATTTCATATCTAATACAACAGCAACCTAGTAACTAGAAATTTTCGAATTATTTGCATTCAATCTGAGCATGGGATTGTATATTCACTATTCAATTGACAATAGCATCATAAAAATAGTTATACCACCTGACATACAGTTGATTAGCTAATGATTTTCAGTTCCCGAACTATCATACGTACGTCTTTACACTTGACTGATAGTTACTGTAGCTGCTGCTGTTTTGGAAAGGAAGGGAAAAGATACAAGATATTACCTGTTACAAAGTATGCTTTCTCATAGTCAGACTTGATAATCATTAGAATGTCATCTATATTAGAAACCAAATTTTCATCAATCTGCCTGTTTATTGTGTCCGATCTGCATAACAACTGAATAGTCATCATATAATTTTTGTTTCGATATCTGGAAGGAACTTCACTCAATGCTACCCACGATATTTCAGTAAAAGACTTAAAATTATGTGCTCTTTTCCAGAAAAGGCTGCTTAAGAATTCCCAATTACTGAATACTAGGACTCAAAAGAAAACTTTATTAACCAATTTCGACTGTCATCCATCACAATTAAAAAATTTATACATAGAAGGAAGGAAGCAAGTCCATGGAGACAAAAGCTGCTAACCTTCCCTATATAAAACTAAGATGTTTCAAAAGAAAGCACCAAGAATCTTAGAATCAGTCGATCGATCACACATATGAACAGCGGAAGTGATTTACCAGACCAAAATACTCACTATTCTTTCTCAAGCTTGAGATGGTTACTATGCTATGAGACTAGTAAAATTATTAATTAAGCTGATATAAATTTAAAATCCAAACTAGCAATGTCTGGTAAATGCTAAAAGAAGAATAGCATGTAAGGCATCAACAAGACGAGCATGAATATTGAGCTTCATATATTGTAAGCTCAGTTCAAAATGGAAAGCAATCCTTTCTAGGCCATTCCAACCATCGACATTTCTAGGAGCAATTTATAGCTTTTAGTGATAATTAAGACTACCATCTAAATTCTGCACTCCAGCCAAAAATATTTAGGCAATCTAGTTAAAGTTAACATAAGTCTCTGAATGCAATCATCCACAAATCTCAGACAATAAATTTCAGGTTTTTTTTTCTCAGACAGTAAAGGGCAACTGCCTTGTTCCAAAACCATAAAAAGAACTTATTCCTTTCTCTCTCTCTCACTAAAAAACCTTTTCCATTCCAACTCAATCCAATGCCAGTTACTTCTTCATTTTCTATTTCAAGCTAAAAAATCGAAGGCAACACAGTATACCATCAACACAGCACACACACCCACCAAAAAAAAAAAAGGTGGGCCAAATTAAGGATAAAACCCACGCTTCAAACCCCAACCCCAATTCTTTAAAAAAAGAAAAAAAAACCCCAGAAATCCCAAGTAAATGAAAAGTGGGGAAACTTCAAATAATGAATATTCCAAATATACATGTTAACATGTTGAATTCCGACCAAAATACCTGTTTTTGTCAGACTGGGAGAGAAGTCTTAGAAGTTCAGTAACTCCGGTAACAGCAAGTTTCAAGAATTTTGGGGTCTGGGTTCTTTCCTTCCTGCTATTGGGATTATTGGAGCAGCATTGGAGGACACCATGGTTTCTCTGAAAAGCAATGAAAAAAAAATACAGAAGAAAAATATTCAGTCATATAAAACAATTTAGCATAAATTTTTTTTTTTTTTTTTTTTTTTGCCTTGGTGGGATTTTAATGAGATTTACTTGTTTGGGAAGTAGCAGCATTTGATGGGGTTGTGGGAGGCATCCAATTCGGAAACCCGCCATTGCCAGTCTTCATTCAGGTATGTTTGTTACTTATCTATTGTGCTTCCTTTTCTCTTCTTCTTTTTCTTTTGGGCAAAAAGTCTCAGTGGCCCTTAAACTATTAGCCGGATGAACTTTTGATCCTCAAACAATTAAAAGTAAATTTTTGGTCCCCAATCTATTCAAAGTACAAAATGTTAGACCTTCTGTCAAATTCAGCAGTTGATATTGACAGAAACTATGACCACGTGAGACGCATGCCGAAATATGAAGGGCATTTTTGTCCATAATGAGCTGTGTTCCACTCGATAAAATGGAGCGAAAAATAATTTTGACCAAATCGTTTACTTTTACCAATATCTCTTCCTCTACCATTGTTGGCGATTGCTGCAACTTCCCAACTATCAACACCGTGGAAGCAGACGGTGATGCAAAACGGAGTGGAGAGCAAAGAGTGACCAAAGGCCCAGGGACCAATCACTTGGAATTTCTGCTATGTCGGGGTGTGCGTGCAATCACACGTCTTTGAAGGAGAGATATAAACAATGTTGATCCCTGTTGCAGATGGGATCGGGACGAGCCTTCGAACCTCCTTTGTTCTCTTCATAGATTATTGCCCCTAAATTCTTTCAGATGAAATTGAGTGAGCTACCATCCATCCTTGAAACCCCTAACCTCACCCACCTTTCCCATTTATATTTTGGGTAGCTTAATTTCTCGAACATCCAAGACAAGCTGTCAAACTACTTGTAATCAGTGGGTGGAAGGATTCCCTCTCCAGCATCATCTTGCCAAATTCTATTCTACAAAATATCGGTCAAATCCTATTTGCTCTTCGTCCGTATCGATCCAAAATATCATCTTGCATCCTAGCCCATAACCCAATTTTAGCTGAATATTATCAACCTTTTTTGGGCATTTCGGCAACTCCCAAAACTTGTTGATCTTTCACACTGGAATTGAATCAAACTTCCAGCTGAGATTGGAATTTCCATTGCAAAACAGTTTTATCGAGTATACTACAATAAAATATACTATCTGATTTGGGTCTGTTGTGGGCTTCTTTCCATCTCTTCCATTGGAAAGATCGATCCATTTTTTCCCACAGTTTTGATCCGGGCTGATCTCTGACTGCATTTGAGGTATGAATTTATGAAGCGTGGAGGAGTTTTGGCTATTTTACATGAATCAACACTCGAAACCAGCCACCAGGTGTTGGCATTTTGTGGGCACGCTTTGTAGCATTATTTGCTTGATATATTCAATGCTTTTCAACTGGTGGTTTGTGATCCTTGTGCCCTTGTTGGGATATGACTTGGCCCATTTTTTTGTGGAAGGAAATGTTCCTGCAACTTTTGGGCATCACTTTTGGTCCCTTTTGTGTGATTTCAAGATGTTTAGATTGATGCTTACTGGTCAAATGGATAGAGAAATCAAGAGGCTCAGTAAGAGGCTAGTTCTGCAAGCTTACTAATTCTTTCGGATTTTCTATTTTACTCTTTTCTTCCGATATGGTTCACAAAATCGCATGAATTTCCGGCTACAACGGAGTTTTTCTTTGTTCAACTCTGTTCAGGAAGAAGTCCCATTTTACCGAGTGAAACACAACTTATTGTGGACAAAAATGTCCTTCGTATTTCAGCATGCGTCTCACGTGATTGTAGTTTCCGTTAGTATTAACTGCTAAATTTGACAGAAGGTCTAACATTTTGTACTTTGGATAGATTGGGGGCCAAAAATTCACTTTTAATTGTTTGGGGATCAAAAGTTCATCCGGCTAATAGTTTGAGGGCCACTGGGACTTTTTTCCCTTTTCTTTTTGGTCGACAAATATTTGGTATTTACTTATTTAATTTTAAAGAGAAAGAAAGTCAAATATATTGTTCTAATTGTTTTTCACTTTAAGGGACATTAAATGCAAACTAATAAAGTTGGTTGTGCTAAGGCAAGTCAAATAAACAATCTCTAGCTTCAAAGTGCATTCAAAAAGAAAAAAGTTCTCTCTCTATGAGAGGTTCTTTCTCTCTAACATAGAGAGAGAAATCCCCTTTCTTGGGTGTGAGTGCCTTTATGAAACCTTTCATAGAGAATTCAAAAGAGAAAACAGAAATTCATGCGATTACGGAAGGATTTCTTCCTGTCTTCAAGATGACTTGGCCAAAATCCATTCTATTTTAGAAAAGCCTTAGATCTTTAGTTTCTTAGATAAAAAAAAATAAAAATAAAAAATAAAAAATAAATAAAAAAGGGGGGACGAGGAATTTCTGCTGGGTTGGTCTGTTTGTGTTTGTTTTGCAGGATCAATGTTTCTTCGTTGCGTCTTCCTGCTTTTCGGTAGATCTTCCGTCTGGTTGGGAGGGTGTACGGTGTTCGGAACAACAGGAGCTGATCTCGGGCTGGATTGGCGCTGTAGCCAACTGGGATTTGAGGAAGTATAGTCAGTGGAGTCGCAGGAGATGGATCACATAGAGGAAGTGCTGCGGAAGTTTATCTTGTCAGAGGAGGAAAGGACTGGCATCTGTCTGGAAGAGGAGGAATTGATACAAGGAATCAAAGAATGTAAGTTGAGTTTAATTGGGAAAGTTTGGGGGGACAAACAGACTAATATTATGGGCATGAGGAGCTTTACAAATAGTATTTTGTCTCATCTGAGAAATGTTAGAATTACTGAGATCAGAGCTAATATGTTTCAATTCGCGTTTGGTAGTAGAAAGGATATTGAGCTGGTGCTAAGTAGAAGACCATGGATATATGATGGTCAGCCCCTAGTTCTGGTGGAGTGGAAAGCAGGAATAGAGGAGGATGAGTTGGCTTTTAGTAGAACACTGGTATGGGTTCAGATCTGGAATATTCCCCTCCATTGGGCTACTAAGGAGGCTGGTAGGAAGATTGGAGGTATTTTTGTGGATGTTAGGAGGTTATCGTCCCTCAGGGGGGAGGGAAGGATGGAAAGCACCTAAAAATCCTTGTTGAAGTTGAGCTAACAATGCCGTTACCAAGAGGTATTATGGTTAACAGTAATGGGGCACGACGATGGTTAGAATTTAAGTACGAGAAGTGTCCAGATTTTTGTTTTTACTGTGGTTTGATAGGGCATAATGAACGGAATTGCAATAAGAAAGGCATCAACATTGACAAGGAAAACCAATACGGTAACTGGATGAGAGCTAGTTTTCCAAGGAGTCCTAGGAGGCAAACTAGAACTGAGGGGGAGTATAGGGATACAGGGAGTGAGGGATCTGGGGAGCAAGGTACAAAGGGGGAGAGGGGGAGTAGTCAGAATTTGTTGCTGACCTACACGAATGATTTCCATGGAGATAAGGGACAATCAGGCTACTCAGAGGGTGATAGTGTGGAACAGATGGGAATGAGGGGAAAGGAAAAGGAGGGAGATCAGGAACAGTATTTAGAGAATATAGGGGAAGGGAAACAGGTGGACGATGGAGGGAGCAAGGCTGAATCTAGTGCAGGGAAGCAAATGGGGGCAATGTTGAGGGATAGGGAAGTTAGAGGGGAAGAGTTTCACCAGAGGGTGGAGAAGCTGGAGGGCGGCAAGGGTGGTAGCCATACAGCCGTAATGTGGATTGATGGGGGGTACAAGAGTGAGGCTGAGAGTGGGTTGAGAGAGGTGCCTGTGCAGGACCTTGACTACAATATGGTTATGAGGGAGGGCAGTAAGAGTATAACAAAAGTGAAAAGGAATATTGCAGGTTATCAAAGATCGAATAAAACATGGAGTAGGTTGGTGAAAGAGGTAAGTAGGAGGAAGCCTCTGGGGGATGTGACCAACAATAAGGGAGAACTAGAGAGGGGGAAAAGGAAGCAGGAGGTAAGTGATGGAGGAAAACGGGGGGATCAGAAGGATTTGGGAAGAGAGAAGAAGGCTAGGATGACTGAAATTGCTGAGGCCCTGATAATGACTACTGAGGTGGTGGAGCCCTCCCTTAATGGGGTTCCCAAATTTATATGAAAGCTCTGGTGTGGAATTGTCGAGGTTCGGGGAGCCCCTTGACAATTCCCCAACTCAAGGAAATGGTTAAGTTCCACTCCCCGTCTTTGATTTTTTTGTCAGAAACTAAAAAAAAGAAGAGTTATATGAACAGTGTTAAGCAGTGGGTAAAATTTGACCATTTTTTGGTTGTGGATCTAGTGGGCATAGCTGGGGGTTTGGCTGTTATTTGGAAAAAGGAAATCCAGGTGAAAACTATTCTATTTACTAGCTTTACTATTGAGTTACTTATTGCTAATGATGAGGGGCAAAGGGATTGGTGGTGTATATGCACTTATGCTAGTACAGATGATAGGGTAAGGGAGCAACAATGGAAGGTTATTGAGAGGAGGAAGAGTATTTGGGGCAGTAGCTGGGCAATAATGGGAGATCTGAATGATATAAAATCTAATGGGGAAAAATGGGGGGTAGAGTCAGGCCGGAGAGTAGCTGTGCTTCTTTTAACACCTTTATAAACAGGAATGAGTTGATTGACATTGGGTTTGAGAGGGTACCTTGGACTTGGTGTAACAACTGGGGAAAGGAGGGTGAGATTAAGGAACGAATTGATAGGATTTTGGCGACTAGACAGTGATATGATAATTTCGAAAGGGCTAGTTGTAGTCATGTTGAGACTGAAGCCTCTGATCATTGTGCACTAATCTTAGACACTACACCTACTAGAAAGGTAAGAAGGAAGCGGTTTATGTTTGATAGAAGGTGGCTACTGCAGGAAGACATTGGAGAGGTAATAAAGGATGCTTGGAAGGCCAATCAGCAGGGATCATGTTTATATAAGGTGGCATACAAAATAAAACAAGTTAGAATGAATCTTCTTAGTTGCAGTAAAAAACTTAATATGAATTCAAAGAAATGCATTGGTCAGATTAAAGGGGAAATTAAGGCAGTGAGGGAGAATAGTTTGAGTGGTTGGAAAATCAAGGTTGCCGGGCTTAAAAGGAAACTAGTGGACGCTTATAAAAGGGAGGAGATTTATTGGAGTCAAAAAGCTAGAGTCCAGTGGCTCAAAGAGGCAGATAAGAACACTAGCTTTTTCCATGCTAGTGTGATGAGTAGAAGCTGACACAATAA